AGCTAGGGTTAAGTCAATCTATCCTAGTCGACCTTCTTCTCTTTTCTTCCCTTTCCTTTGTCTCTTGCTGAAATCCCCAACTTTCTACTCTTCCTTWCACAAGAAGCTTGGCCGAAATCAGCACATAAGGTTTACTATAAGAATCAATAGCAGTTAAGTAATGTGGCCACAGTAAAAAGAACAAAAATGCAAAATGTAGGACAATAATGAAAATTACTGCCAATGTAGAGAAATGCTTTTATGTTCAAATACAGTAGCCAATAGTTGCAATAGGCATGTCCATATGAGAGAGAAAGAGGGGGGATTGCAATATAAATCTTAGCAAGACTTGTATATTTCTAATCATATGTACAAATTCACCATACAGGTCCACAAAATAGCATGCATAATTGATCCAAATCTATTCAGCACCGTGTGCATAACTTCTATGAACATAACAGGGATGCATCCTCAAAATAAATATAGAAAAAACATATAGAGAATTACATATAAATATGTCAATGTGAATACAAATAAATGTCCTAAAGTTAGTTACGTAGCCATCTGACAAGAAATGCAGATCAAACCAATAAGCAAAAACGTTGTAAACACCCACCAAAGCAACCATTCTCACGGAATTAATTCTAACAGGAGATAATGTCAATGAAGGAAAAATTGCAAGTGTTTTTTAAGCTTACTCTGGACAAGTATCAAGCAGTAACTCAACAGAATCATCCAATGGGTGGCCTAACTTCTTCTCCTCTTCCTCTTCGAGTTCCTTCAACCACAGAATGGCATGTACCCTCTGCCGCATAATCCGGTAATCCTTGGCCAATTTCTCGACCGTATACACTTCGGGATTCTCTTTATGTAGGCGATACATTTCCGCCTTTTCCGAGTCCTTCAGATACGAACCCCTAGCTCCGGGTTCTCTCACCTGCTTCAGCAAAACGCTTATCTCCTTCATCCTCTCTCTCCAACCGTCCACGAACTCCTTGCTCCTCCTGTTCTCCTTCTCCAACTCCGCCACTTCATCACTTAAATCCGATTCCGGAACTGTCGAAGTAAAGGAAGGTGCCCCGTCGCCGGATCCGGGAGATACCTGACGACCCACTGCCTCACCATCGAAATGTTCCTTGGTCAGTCCGGTAGACCACGATGAAACAGTGTCCCAACCGAGACCAGAGGAGTTCCCGCCAGGTTCTTTCCCAGAAGACGAAGACGATCCCCCAATGCTCTCCCATCCTTTCTCCCAAACATCCTCATTTCCGCCACCGCTTCCAGATTTTGTAGAGAAACCTCTTGAACTTGATCCTCCCAACAATGTGATTAGGGATGCTTTATGCCACCTTCCGATGATCGTCGACTCTGATATCGAGAGTCGAGCGAGGAGGCGATGCAGATTTTGCATCTTTTTCTTCCTGTTCAATCCGATCTTCCTTTTCTCCTTAAACCAGGGTATCCGCCGTGGTTGTAATCAGGCGGGAGATCGAACTCCGAAGTTGCAGTCCGTTGCTCTGTGAAGATGGACGAGTAGATAATGAGTCGACTCGTTAGACTCGTCAGTCGTTATCAACGTCAACCCAAGCTCGGTCCAACGGTCCAACCCAGTCATTTCAAGCTGGGCTTGGGCCTCACGTTACTTAATGGCTGAAGTTGAAGTTGGATTGATTGTCATGCCCTTAAATTCTTTTATTATTTAATTATTTTATCTATTACTAAAAGATAAAATAATAAGTCATTCAGTTCAGCTAATATCATCAGGACTAAAAAATAAGGCCCACATCAATGAAAGTGGAAACTAGAAATCCAGCTATAAGTCCTACAATAAGTCATTCAGTTCAGTTCATATTAATATATATTCTTAAAGTATTTCCAAGTTTTTTAACAATTGACATCATATTTAAATATTAAATTTATTCTTTACTATTCCTCAAATTTTTAAAATAAAACACAATTGATGAAAATTTTCAATAACTACTTTCCTCTTCTCGTGTGGATTTCATGAGATCTGACGACGGTGGTGATGGGGTTGAAGAGGACTAGAAAAGGAGTGGTACATGTGATGGTTCTGATCACAGTAATGAAAACAGGGGGCCAAGATCCATTTCTCGATGTCTGTGTTCGTCAAAATCAATAATTCAATTTAAGCTTCAAGAGTGATTGATAATTATATACGCACAGGTTTATTGGAGTTGCTATTGGAGGGATATAGACATAAATATAAATAGGCTTCACCATGACAACTGCAATGCGGTCAATCTAGTGATGATCACACACGGGTTGGCTTTGCGAATATTCCTAATAAAATGGTTCAAGTGGACGGTGGAGCAATTCGAATATCTTAACAATCCGCGCAACTATGAGTTTCGAGTAATGCAACTGATACGGGGGTGGGGAGTGCAGCTTGGCGATTCATCAATCGAAGGAAGAGCTTCAGCAATGGGGACTCTCTCCTGAGATAATATCCTACCAAAAATGGCGAGCCAGCACCAACAGGGGAGACTATAATGAGAAATGTTGCTCGTGGTACCTAGACTATAATGAGACGTAACCATTGTAATGGTTCTAACTTGGATGCTTAACCATTAGGTTACTTTGCAATTGGGTGTCACTCTTGCAAAGTCATCATAAGCATATTACGGATTTTGGGTTGAAAAATTGGCAATTGAAAAGGAAACTCTTGATTTGGGGAGCAAAGTGGTTGAACGATAGGCAAAACAGGCAGTGAAGAACGTGTGTGTTGGATAATAATAGACAATGTATAATGGAATTTATCGATAATTGCTTTTCAAATAGAAAACTTGTAGAATTGTAGTATTGCAAAACTATGAATCTAAGAAATTGCAAAGAGAATGATGGTTGAGTCGTGCCACTTTGTCATTCTTCTTAAAATTGTATTTGCCCTTTATGGTGTAGCTGGATGATTGTAAATCGATTGCCAAGACAAAACAACCCATTGTTGTATAAATATTTGAAAAAAAAAAAAAGAAATTTCACTTTCTCTCCCACTCTCTCACTCTCAAAGTCATCTCTAGATTTCTCACTCCCTTTGTTTCTCCCACTCTCTTAGTTTTTGTCTACAGCTAAATCAAACTCTCTCTCTCTCTCTCGATTTTTCATTCTTCATCATTCTCCCTCAATCTTTTTTCTTGTTCCATCTCTCGTTCTTTTTTATTTTTCTTTGAAGCTTATATGGAATTAATCAACCCGTATAAATTATAAGTTAATCAAATTACCAACAACTTGTACAATCAAATTATAAATTTCAATCAAGTTGGTATAAATTTCATAGCTAAGAATTTCTTGTAAATTTGTATCAAATTGGGTTGAGGGAGTTAAAGCCATACCGAGTTAATTTTATGTTCTTTAATATGGTTTGCTTAATACCATATAAATGTGTAAGAAAAATAAAAAAATATGAGAGGGAATGGGAAAAAAATGAGAAAGAAAGATAGAGATTGAGGGAGAATGAGAGATCGACCAAGAGAAGGAATGAAGGAGAAAGAGAGAATGAGAGATCAATTGAAAGAGAAAATGAAGGAGAATGAGAGATTAAGTGAGAAACAAAATGATAGAGATTGATGGAGAATGGTAGATTGACAAAGAGGGAGAGAACGAGAAAGATTAATTAAGAAAATGTAAAAACCTTTTCTCAAATCACACAGTCGTTGAGTAAGGATAAACGACTATGAGAGTGAGAAAATGGGAGGGAGATCAGAAGACAAGGGGAGTGGGAGAGAACATAAAAACTCTTTTTTTATTTTCAAATAATTCATGCTGTGTCCAACATGGATTAAGAGTCCCATATTGCAACAACCACATAAACCTCCAATGACATACAAGAGTTTTCATAATTTTAAATATATTTTATTGGTTTTTAAATCAACTTTAAACATAAATTTAAATGTAACCGGCTCTCTGACTATAATTTTACAATTTGTTAAAATAAAGAGAGATATCCTTATTCGGCTCTTACCGGGATCGAATTCGGATTCAAATCGGACCTGACCCGGTTTATTTATTTGTAACCCTACCAAACCACATTCGCTATGTCGCGCTGCGCTGAAACAACGAAATCATGGGCGTTGATGTACTGCAATGGCCCCGCCTTGAATTAGATGAACTGACATTTTGGTGGGCCACTGCAATACATCAAAGGCCCTGATTATCGCAGCAAAAGTGACTATTTTTTTACACGTGTTCTACTGAGCTGAGAAGGATTTCGTGGGTTGCCTTCACGGGCACCAGTGCACCACACACCTCAGGATGACGTGTGAAAACCAGGATATACGTACTGGTTTACTTTGGAGATCGGAAAATGGAGGGAGGGGGAGAGAGAGATGATCGAAAAGAGGAAAAGCATTAAAGCAGACAGTGAACGCAAAGGAACCCTAAAAATTTTCTGAAGATAGTCAGATAGACCGGAATCAGAACCCTAGCTTGATAGTTTTGCATCACAAATCATCTTATCTCTCTCTCCAAATTCATTTGATTTGAGAAAAGGAAAAGCAATTAGATTCTTTCTTTCTGCAAGAGACTGAAATTCTACCTTGATGAATTCACAGAGTGGTTTTCTTAATGGAGATTTGACCTTGATTCGCCATTTATAACATGTAAAGGTACGATTCTTGCGAACTGGAACAGAAACCCTAAAAATTTAGCTTTGATCTTGTTCCCCCTGGACATATCCAGAGACATCAAGAACGAAACACGCATCGGACCGAGGTTAGATTACTGTTGTCCTAATTGCAAGAAAAATCTAAATGTTGAACCCTTTTGAATTTAACGTTCTTTTGAGCTGGAAAAATAAGAATTTGGGGCTTATATGGCCTGTCTTAGGTTTGATCTCTCAGCTGACTCGAGTTGACGGTTTGCAAGGTGAACGATTAGAGGTTCTTTAAGCTGGAAAATGTGAACTCTGTGCTAAGGTCTCAAAAAGAAATAACTGTTCGTCAACTGTATGACGGGTGATGCAGTAACACAAAGATTTATGAGTTCTGTTGGAGGATCAGGGTTGTGTTTTTTGAACTGTGAATTGTGTCGACGTTTTTAAGCTGCTGAACTCGAGAGTGAGGTGTTTTCTTTGACTTGTTCTTCTACCTTGGACAAACTAGCAAAGCACTCTAGTTTATTTGTTACAGACTTATAGGCCGGGTTTTCCCCCATATCTATAAACATGCATGCTAGGCGCAGGAGCCCCGCCACTGGGGGTAGGTCTAGTTCAATGGGAATGGGGCTGGCTGCATCTCGAATCTCGCCGGAAGGTTCAATAAGAGGTCATGGAATGTACAGCTCAGAGTACAGGAGCTACAACCGTGGTTTTGGACGTGGCCCTCCTAAGTCTTACCCCCCACCACAACCACCTCGCCGAGGTGACATTTTCATGGAAGCTGGTAGGCTTGCAGTGGAATATTTAATTTCTCAGGGCTTACTACCTCCTAATGTACTTCCAGGAAAGTGGCAGAATGGTAGTTTGAAGAACCAGGTAGGGGACTTTGCTGAGTTCAGGCAGCAGGATAGAGAAAACATGAACCTACCTCCTGAAGGCCGAATGTCAGCACTTGCCCGCTTAGGGAATGTTGTTCCTGACGGTGGTTCTAGCAGGAGGAGGTTTGCGGATGACTTCCATTCAACAGGAACGAGAAGCCATTTGAGAGGAAGGAGGAGGGTGGGTTCTTTTAGGGGTTATGGCTCTGATTGGAGCAGAGAAAATGGGAGGAATGGTTCATTTTTGGAGAGAGCTAAATCCTTTTCTGAAATGGAGGAGGGGGAGGATGCTGGATATCATGAAGAGAGGCGAGCTGGCACAGATGTTGGTAGTGGGATGTCAAAGGTCGCCTCCAATGAGTTGCCATTGAGAGGTGATACTGGTGGTGATTCAGAATCTGAACTAGAAAGTTATGAGTTTCCTGATGACACGTGTTCCAGGCCAAATTCTTCTAGCACTAGAAAAGATCTACCTCCTGAGACAGATGGTGAGAATTCCAAGGGATCTAATGATTCTAGAATGTTGGGTCCTGAGAGTGAAGAGGTGAAGAATGACACTGGTAATGATGAACAGGAGAAACAAGGTAGTGCAGATGAAAACTCCATGCAAGGTTGCTTAGTAGAAGGCGATTCTGTGAACAAGAATGGCAGTGATTCAGTGAACAAGAATGGTAATGATTTGCTAAAGCTATGCAACTTTGCTAAAGTGCCCACCAAGACCCGCTCATCCTTGGCATGTAAGCCCTTGAAGGTGGATCCAGTTCCCACAACTGATGAGCAAGTGATGTCTGATATTGCAACTTCAAAAAGTCCTCAAATCCTCATGGATGAAGGCTCAGTTGAAGGCACATTGAATGATGCATTACCAAATCAAAATGATAGTTCAGCTTCAGCATGCCCTGAATCTGATATTCCCAAGGCTACATCTGTGCAATCCATGGAGGATGCTCGAGACCGGAATCCTGCATTTGCTGTAGATAGGAGTAAATACACAAGGTCTCAATCTTTCCCTGAGAGACCTTTTATGTATCAAGAAGAACAAAGCCAGGGCCCACCAGGGTTCGGAAGATGCAGCTCTATGGATAATGAGAGAGGTGAGAAAAGAACTATACAACATGATGACCTTAAAGAAGGAGTTAAGAAACCTAGAGAATGGCATTCACCAATTGTTAAACAATTCAACGAGTACTTCCATCAACATAACCCTAGAACCCAGCAATCAAGTACACCTGATGAGGATCTCTCATCTGATGATGATGTGGTAGAGGTAGTCAATCAAGAGGGGTTGGTTAGTGCTGTACGGCATGAAGATAGGAAACCTAGAGAATTGTCTGCTTCCATTGTTACACAGGCCAATGAGTACTACAATCTTCAAAACTTAAGGGCAAAACAACCTAATATACTTGAAGAGAGTTCTTCAGTTGATGATGATGTGGTAGAGGTGGTAAACCAACAGAGGTTTGTGAATGCTCTGCCACATGAGGACATGAGGCAGGGAGCCAAAAAACCTGGAGAATGGTCTCAATCTTTTGTCACACAAGCCCATCAGTACTTCCATCTTCATAACTTCAGAGCAAAGCAATCAAGTACACCTGAGGAGAGGCCTTCACCTGATGATGATGTGATAGAAGTTGTCAGTCAAGAGAGGCTGGTTAGAACTGATCTGTTGCCAAAAGGTGGAGCTGAAAAGGGCATTGAATTTAGAGAGGAGAAGCAGCTTTTTCCAAGTTCATTTAAAATTTGTGACCTTAACCTTATGGAGACTTCTGATATGGCAGAGAATCATGACGATGATCCAGTTCTTAGTTTTCCCTCTACCTTGGATGGCAAAAGGGAAGTATCAGTGGATATCGATTTGTCAATAAGCAGTAACTGTAACCGACCTGATGACTTTGACCGATGTCTGGCTGATGACAAAGAAGTTGTGATAGATGATGCAGCAAATGAAGTTGCAAAAGAAGACCAGACCTTTAACACTTCACAGAGAGAGTAAGCTTTTCCAACTACATTAATTGATTATCATGTTGCTTCAGATTATTATCCTGTTCGAAACCATCAAGAAAAACTAGGGGTGATCATATCTAGCATGGCCCTACTAGGTTTTATGTTCAGGCTTTGCGTTGGAAGGGTATTATACTGAAGAGCTTTGACCAATCAACACCCCCTGATATGAATTTTGATGGATACCACCAGCTGATTGGTTACCACTTTTTTGATACCGGTTGATTGGTTAGCAGTTTTTTAGATATCACATCTTTCCGGTTTTATAGTCAGACTCATATATATATATAATATGTCATATAATGTAAAATGTTATATATAATGTGTATATATATAATGTTATATATATATAATATGCCATATATGTTATATATATAATTATATATTAAATATAATGTATACAATTATAGGCCCAAAGCCTGGCCTGGCCCAGCCCATTATCACCCCTAAACAAAACAAAGAAACTAAGGTTAATAGACAAAATAATATGCTGTTAAATATTGATAAAAAAATGCTGTTAAATTATCAAAAGAAAAAAAAAATGCTGTGAAGTCCTGTAGGCTTTAAGGCTGTTTTTGGTTTGAAAGAAAAGTTAGGGAAACATATACAAACCTTGTATAGGTTTCCCTACCTTTTCTTTCAAACCAAACACAGCGTAAGAATTAAAACTATAAATAGAATAAGTTCAAATAAAACTTATACTTACAAAATGTGCAAATGATTCTAATAGATCAACCAAGTAATCTATTACACAGAAAAATTGAGATTCAATATCACATACTAAATAAATTTAAGTTGGCTCAATGTGGTCATCATCTTCATTAGATCATCAGATGTGTGATAGTAGCTCTGCGTATCTGCAATATTGTTGCAAACTAATCATATTTTAGGGTCTGTTTGGTTCACAGTTGGAATCAGAATCGGAATCGGAATGGTCTATTCCCATACTGTTTGGTTCAGACAGGAATGGGAATGAGAATTGAAATAAGTAGGAATGGGATTTCACTCCCAAGGGAGGGGTAGGGAATGGCCATTCCCTCAAATGGGGGAATGCCATTCCAGTAAGAATGGGAGTGGGATTCCGATTCCGCCCAACCAAACAGTTGGAATCGGAATAGCCCATTCCAATTCCGATTCCAGACACCTATTCCTGCAAACCAAATGGGGTCTTAGTACTATCTACATTCCAGTAATATTTTGTGTTGGTACCTATGCAAATGGAAATATATTGTGGAAATATGTCAACATTTTAAACCATGATAGTTGCATTAGATTCTATTGCAAATATGGCAATCCCAGTGTTTTAAAAGCACAAGGCGCAAAAATGGCGCAGGGGTCAATTTGCGCCTGAGGCGCAAGGCGAGGCGCACGCCTTTTTGATGCAAGGCACAAAAATAAAAAACATGCTAAAAAATAAAGAAAAATGTCAGAAAATTCAAAAAAATGCCAAAAAAATTCAAAAAAAAAATAAAAAAAAATATAAACTAAAATTTTAAAATAATGTTTTAAAAAACCTATTATCTAAAATTAAAATACATAAACATAAGATGCAAAGCATATTCAAATGAGAATTTAAAAATAAAATCAAACATATAAAACATTTTCAATCATGTAAAACCTCTAATTTCTTTTTTCACTCAATTGCAGTACTTCACATAGCTAATGTAAAGTAAAACATATTACATTCCTGATTCTACGAGCCGGCTTTGTGCCAGGCGTATGCCTTTCGAAAGGGCTACGCCTAGGACCTAGGCGAGGCACATACCCTGAAATGCGCCTCGCCTGTGCGCCAAGGCGCAATCACTGGGCAATCCTATTTAAATTGGTTTATTCTATGCAAGAACTATGCTGGTATGGTTCATTTGGCTTCATAGTTTATAGTTTTATCCTAAATGTTAAATCATTCAATAATACAGGGCTGCAACTGTATATCCCAGCCTGGAAAGATTTCCAAACCACACAGAGAATACTGGTGATCTTCCTGATGTACAGGATGGTTATGGTCTCATGATCTCTGAACTGCTAGGAAATGATATGCCAAATTGTTCGTCAGTACCAACAGATATTACCGCTCTGCATACTGAAATGGGTCTTCATAATGGAGAGGTATCACCTGAAACTGATACATACAGTTGGTAATTTGATTGTTCAATGTTGATCATCCAATCATTGTATTGCATTGATATGTTTTTCATTTTTTAAAATCATTGATTTGATCTTAGTAGTCTACAAATTATTCATTGTTTCTTATTGATCATGTATTTCAGGGGATTCTTGGAGAAGATGATCAAATATATCTATCTCTTGGAGAAATACCAATAAGTATGCCAGATATTTAGTTGAATGGTATTATTGTTTTCTTTTAAATCTACTAGTTTCATGGTTGATCTAACTAGTAGAATCTATAAGCAGTTCACCATTTAATGAAATTATGAGATTTCTATTATGTAATTATGAATGTAATGCTGAAAAGAGAGCCACATATACCTCAGAATCCTGAGATTTCTATTATGTAAAAAAAAACCCTCAGAACCAAGGCATCAATGAAAATCTCCAGTTACTTCAAGAAGATGATCTAGTTACATATGTAAATTGAAGCATAAGAGAACAAGAAAAAGAGAAGAATGCTATTTTGGTCATATCTGCTTTTTTTTTTTTTGATTGGAAACGGCAACTTTCATTAAAATAACAGTTAGATACAGAAGTGTCAACCACTCATAGCATGAGAATTGGTCTTATCTACTTGGATTACAAAAACAGCAAAAATGACGTATTATTCAGCAAGAAAAAAAAGAGAAAAGAAAGAATGAGAGGAATAATGGATGAGAAGCAAAAAGTCTGCCTACTGTCCGTTCCTTATCTATTTATAATAAAGAATAAAGTGTACAATGCCAAAAATACCCTTGGTTGCCTAAAGTAAATAAAGGCAACAAGTCTGCAATAAAAGAAGTTTCAGACTTCCACTAAGGAAATGCTTATATGGATCATGCCATTAAGGGCATGTTGTATAAAATGAGTTGTCCAATTATGAGAAAAGGATTTGGGAAAATGCTAATTACAAGATGGAAGGATATCAGGGAAAAAGGACATCAGATTTTATGATCCGGGTAGAACTTTCTATACTGTTTGGGTGTTGAATGAACTCAACTCAAAGTAGGGTACCCAAGCATGCATACAGTGAAGGCCTGGTCAAAGGTTACATTGCTAGCTACCACGGAACCTTTGGACAGTAGCCTATGTAGTCACAGGCAGTGGTGTTTATTGGCACTGGCTAGTTCGGTGAAGTTTTAGCCCGTCTCCCAAACTCATATCAATACTGTCAATGCATCATGGCTTTTAGCTGTGATCTTCAACTCAAGCCATTGGATTCTTTAATAATTACTTACATTTGTTTGTATTCTTTAATAATTGCTTATTAGTTTATATTAGGCTCTTGATGCTTTCGCAATACGCAGTTTAGGCTTTACTTTTTTTGTAATTTAAACCACTAAATAGTTTCTTCATTTGTAAGAATTTGACCTTTTAATTATTGGTGTAGATTCTTGATTTGCCTATTCTTAAGTGTCAGATTTTTGTTTTTTTTGTAGGTTTTATAGGGGTCTGGGAACAGCCTACACAGGATTATGGGAAGCCCTTTTGAACTACTGTTGATCAAGCTCGTTAACATCCTTCTTGTGTCCTGTGGTTATTCACCGATCTATTGCTTAATTCTAGAACAAGAAAACCTTAAATGCTGTAGTATCTTTGATTGTAGTCATAGAGGTCAGTGTTGTTGCAGTATTATCTACTGGCATTGTTTCAGCTTCATGTTTGAGTATTTGATTTTCTTTCTGATGGATAGAAATTGATATTGTTTAAACTTGACCCCTCACATAGAGTATTTCTAAAAGCATAATCCATGTCTATTTAGATTGTCACTGCCTTACGGAATTTTCTATTGCTACTGCCTCATGAAAAGATAACTGGGATCAACATTGGGTAATGGTCTTTTTTGCCTTAAGAAAAGCCTTCAGTATTGGTAGATGCAGAATTGACTAAATCATATGGAGAGTGGTCCTTGGCATTTGGTCCACTTCTTCTTTGGTGAAATCATGGAAACCATAGCCATTTTGAATGCTCAGGTAACATAGATACCTGGGGACCTAAGCACAACCATAGATAGTCTTGCTAGATTGGGGATTTGGAAGGTTTTATTGTATAGCAACAGGTCCTTATTTTACTAGCTTTTGTGATGAGAATGAATGCCTGTCCATAATGCTATAGTCTGTTCCCATCCTCTCATACATGGTTTGCAATTTTCCCTGAAACATGGTGAAAATTTTCCATTTCTTTAAAGTGCAAGGTGAAAACATCCTGGAATCAGAAAACTCTCAATATACTAGCTAAATTTCTTTACCTCTCTCCAATATTCAAAAAACTCTCAGTATACTAGCTAAATCAACAATTTGTCATATACAAGTATTCTAAGTTCTAACAAAATATTAGGAAAGCTTCACCAGTTTTGCCAAAGATGAAATCAAAACAATTAAGGTGTAGAAAATTCTCCATCCATATTCTCACAGAGAACTAAGAGAATTTCACTGATTTTTCCAAAATCAATTCAAAATAATCGTGAGGATAATTTCCTTGTTGCCAGGCCATCTACCATGCTGTTGGCAGACCTCGGTTCCCAATTACAATTTGTTCCCATGGTTGCAGTCATCTGTACAATCTCTCTGATGTGATAACAGTGCCGTAGTCACTTGTTCTCTCTTCCTCTACCTCCCTCCTCSTACGGCCTAGATCCACTCCTATCTTGCCGATCACCACTTCCTCGACCTCAAAATGACTAAAACCTGATTCAGGACCCTGAGATTGGCAGACTTCTACATTCAYTGTCACATCCCTTTCATCCACTTCAATGGCAACTTCACTTGAAATTTCACCTTTTTCCACTGTTGAAGTCATTTTTTTTATTCAAATAATTTGTAATAAGTGGGCTAGCTAGTCTACTAGCCAAATCATTAAAATTATAAAAAAGTATCCCGTATGGGAGTTCCCCCTCTTAAGTGGGGAGTTCTCTCTCTTTAAGTGGGGAGTTCCCTCTCTTTAAGTGGGAGGGACGGGTGTCCTTCACCTAGGAGGAGGGGGTAGTTACATAACCACCCCACTCCCTATTTAAGCTCCTTAAGGGGAATCTAGAAACACATACACACAAAGAGACTCTTCAGAGAAAAATTTCACAAGAGATTCTTAAGAAAAGCAAAGATAAGGAGAGAAGAAAAGAGAAGTGCTCAAGGGAAGGCAAGGAAGGAAACTTCTCACTAATATAGGTAGAGAAAAGGAAAGTCCTCTTTGTGAATACTTCCTATTTATGTCTTCTGCTATGTATCCTTCTTTCTCTCCCTTTTGTTATTACTTTTGAGAAAGGAAAAAGAGGGAAATAAACCATCTACAACCAGGTGTCTTTACTTGGTTGATTATGGTCCCTCTTTCAAGACAAAGTTAGGGATTAAACCATCTACAGTCTAATTCTCGAAGACTGATTGTGGTTCCCTTCAAATGAAAATGAAGAGTAGGGGGGAATAAACCATCTACAACCAGGTGCCTCTACTTGGTTGATTATGGTCCTTCTTTCAAGACAAAGTTAGGGAGTAAACCATCTACAGTCTAAATCTCAAAGGCTCATTATGGTTCCCTTCAAATGAAAATGAAGAGCAGAGGGATGAAAATTGTCTACAATCAAATATTCAATTTGATTGACTACAGTTCCCTTTTTGTATGCAAAATTCCAAGGAGTAAGTCTGCCTACAATCAGAATTTCGTTTGATTGACTACAACTTAGTATGAAGAAAGGAGTGAGATGGAAATTTTCTTTGTATTAAAGAAAAGAGAAATGTATTGCTGTATATTTTCTCAATTGTATTTTCTTTTTCTTTCTTCTCATTCTTGTACACCTGATGTAAAAGAAAAGCAAATGAAAAGTTCTTTTTAAGTATCCTATTGTTCTTTTCTTTTGTTCTATGCGTTCATTTTTCCAAGTCAGAATCAAAAGGTGTTCTCTACTTTCTTGTGGGGATGTAATTAAGGGGAACAATCTGTATGATTCCTTGAATGGGCCTTACCCAAAATAATAAAAACTCAATCACTTGATTGAGTGAAATATGTTGCATGAGAATTTATTAAAATTTTCACACCAACATCCACTAATCCTTCTGATCTAATCACAATGTTCCTTGTCCCATCCACCCCTCCATATCAACCCTCCTTATGCCAACATTCGAAGGCATACCCAAGTTTTAGCCCCCACCTGAGTCGGTGCTTTATTAGATTCCCTTTGGTCCTAAATAACCAAAGACAAATCCAAATCATTAACACTGCAACGTTCTGGGCCAGGTCAAAGAACTGCAGAGCCATTGCCTTGATCTCTCTTTCCGTTGATCTTAGCTTCTCCAGATTTTGCAGCAGACTTCGTAAGTCCAGACCTCTCATATTTATGGATCTCCCATACCCATTCTGTTGTTCTTCCAAATCTTCTCTTACCTATGATGCGACTAGACAAAGTCTCCACTCCCTTTAGGAAGTTTGGTCGCTTAAAGTTAAAACCTTTTCTCTTATAGATTTTTAACCTATTAGAGAGATCCGGACTTAACACCAATAGCTTTAGACCTCAAAAATTGGTCCCCACTTAATCTGCGACCCCTTCTTTGCACCCAAAATGCCTCTTTAGATTCTTTTACCAAAAAAACCCCTCTACCTTTTTCATTTCCCAGAAACCTTTCAGCCTGATCATCCACGTGTTCAATAATTAAATTCTTTGAATTAAGCTTCGAGTTGATCTCTCCATCTTCCCACCTATTCACCTTCTTTCTTCCTCGGTTATTGAACATATCCAACAAACTGTTCCCACTCGCAAAAACATTCTTTTTATTACCAAAAGTGCCCTTGTTTTCAACCTCAACCAACTGAGACACTTTTCAACTTTGACCTGTTCATTTTAGATGCTTGAAAAAATCCGCTGCCCTCCTTCCATACTGCCATATTTTCAATCCATCTTGCCGGATATGTTCCTTTGACAACTAACCTCAAATTATAAAGTTCTCTACCAAACTAAAGCAACAGAGAAGCTGACACTAGGTGAGTTTCCTTTACCTCAACTGGGATACATGGAACAACAAGGTTCTTCCACGAAATTGTCCTTGGATCGGTGACTTGAATCTCCCACATGCATCCTCCACAACCAAAAGTGTTTGGAAACACCAGACATGCATGGGAATACCAAAGACATTTATCCACACCAAACTTTAGGGTCCCAAATTTCTTAATTCCCCAACTAATGGATTCTAGGGTTGGCAATTATAACCCTGACCCATTTGACCCACCCAATCCACCCCACTTGAAATCCACCCTTACCCACCCGTTTTAGTGGCGGGTCAGTCTTGACCCATTAGGGTCAAGGGAAAAAGGTCAGGGTGGGGTTGGGTCAATGGTACCCATTGGGTCAGTTGGGGTTTGGGGTTTTAAGGTTAGGGTTCGAAATTCTCTGCAAAGTGAAACTTTTCACTTCTGAGAAAATCAGATGCCACAACTCCAAGGTTAGGGTTTGAAGGGTTGGAAAGTTCCCCCAGACATGGTTCATAGGTTGATTCTCCACAACATCTCACCTCCGTCTTCACCAGAGAATAATCATATGGTGCTGCTGTAAGTTTAAGTTTCATTCCTATATTGTGTTGCAGAATATGGGAGTAAATATTACAGAAGATTGCGTTCATTTAGGGATAGTAAGAACGAGACTCACCAGAGATCAGAAGGCCTTGTTACAAGTGATATCAAATCATCAACAAAGATTTTAATCATTTAATATTCTAACCTAATCTGGAGTTGAAGCCTTGAAAATTTCTCTCAAAAAGTTCCAGTTCTGGTATTCTTTCTCGCTTTGAAACTCTTGAAAATGGTTCCACAGGTAAGTTGAATTTTAATGTTTTACTTTTGACGTGAAATTAGAAAAAGAAAAGAGATTCAGAGATTAGGAGAATCAATATGATAAATTGAATATGTATATTCTTCAGACTGCTGTGGTGCTGCCACAACTTGCTACATCTCATCCAAGACTTGCGCTTCCCACAAGTACTTCAAGACTTAAGGGTGTTTCTGACGTTCCCTTGCCACTGCAATTCTGTGCCTCTGTTTTCTTCACCAAGGCCAATTTGTTTTCTGTCTTTCTGCATTTTTTTTTTATATTTTTCTTCATTTTTGTACTTTTCTATAAGTTTTGTTTTGTTTTTTTTTTTGCATTTTAGTGTTTTTCTATATTTTCTATTTTATAATTTCTTTGTTTATTTTTTTTGTAATTTAGGTATTTTCCTATATTTTATGTTTTTTTTTTTGCATTTTAGTGTTTTTCTATATTTTCTATTTTATAATTTCTTTGTTTATTTTTTTTGTAATTTAGGTATTTTCCTATATTTTATGTTTTTTTTTTTGCATTTTTATGTTTTTCTATATTTTTTGTTTATTTTCTGTTGTTTGTATTTTTTCTGTAATTTTGCTTTTTCATATTTCTGCAATTTTTATATTTTGTTATTTTCTGCATTTTATATTTTGAATTTTATATGATTTTATATTTTTGTTATATTTTTCTTTTATATGTTTTATGCATTTTATATGTTATCTGCAATTTCTTCATTTTTTATAATTTTCTTTTATTTTTACATTTTAAATGTGGGTAAACGGGTCATATGGGTGGGTTAGGGTGGGTCAGGGTCAGGGTGGGTTGTGACCTGCTAATATGCATTAAATATGGGTAGAAATGGGTTAGTGGGTTAATATGGGTGGGTTGATACTCAACCCTTACCCAACCCAACCCAACCCACACATTTGCCACCCCCAATGGATTCCACCTCCCCAATCTAAGTTCTGGGCATCAAGATTGATTTTG